GCACACGTAATTCCAAAACATTGTCACTGTAAGTATGTTGCAGCAATTGTGTGACTCAGATGGCACTGAAGCCTACTTGAGTGCGTATGTTCAGTGATTGACATGCCTTCAACAAATGGGTGTGTTTTTCACCAAAAAAAAAAAAAATTTGTTCCTAAGTTTAATGTAACTTTTCAACAGGAGACAATGGGATGAATTCGAGGGCCCTGAAGATTTTTCAGGGTCCTTATATTAGCTTGGTAAGGCTGCCCTAACAAACTGGGAGGCTTCGCAATAGACATTTACTGTCTTCTGAACCTGAAAGCTAGAAGTTTGAGGTCATGGTGTTAGCACTGTTGGCGCCTTCTGAGAATCGCAAGGGAGTCTCTCCGGCGCCCCTTCCTTAGCTTCTGGTGTTGGCTGGCAATCTTTGGTGTTCATTGGCTTCTGCCTTCCCCTTCACGTGGTGTTTCCCCCGTGTGTGTTTCTGAGTCCAAATTTTCCCTTTTTAATCAGGAGAGCGGTCACCTCATCTTAACTAATTACCTTGTCAATGACCTTATTTCCAAATAAGGTCACATTTGAAGGTAACAAAGGTTAGGACTTCAAAGTATAGCTTCTGGAGGGATAAAATTCAACCCAACATCCCTCATGGTATAATATGTTCTTACTCTCAGTGTAATCTTTGACTAAATCTCCATAAAATTATTGTTTATTGTACCTCAAGAGACAACCACACTCATTTTCATTCTGACATTGTGATCTTTATAAAAATGTAACAGGAAATGCTTACTCTTTATCATCAAGGGGTAGTGTCTGCTTCTCCCTCACACATGCCTGATTAGTGCTCCTTAAACTGTAAAGCACATTATTTCCTCATCTGGGATGTTTTGGTAAAATGCAGAGTCAGATTCAGTACCTCATCTGGGATGTTTTGGTAAAATGCAGAGTCGGATTCAGTAAACCTGGCATGGAGTCTGAGATTCTGTGGTTCTAACAAGCTTCCAGCTGATGATGATGGTGATGATGATCTGAGAACCACACTATGAATAGGATGATGCCAAGGTTCCTCTGCAAGCCAAAGATCAGAAGTTAAGCCATCTGGAAATACAACCTTAAAAAACAAGTAAACAATAATAATGTCCTCAGCAAAAGACTACACCTAGTACTGTCACCTATTGATGTCATTTATAGCAAATAAAATCATGTGGACAGGTTTCTCATTATAACCCGAATCATCACCACGGGCTGCTGCCAGATGTACAGAGACAAAGTCAAGGCTTCCAGTCACTACAGCAAATGACGTTGTGGAAGAGGACTCATTAACCCCAGATCAGCAGAATTACCTAGGACTTAATGAACTGTTTTAACTGTGGTTAATGTTCTGCTTTCTAACAGACATCTGAGAAACCCATTCCTTTCTTCTCTATCTCTAACCCTCAACATAATAAGCTATATTTGAACTAAGTGGAATAAAACACTCCTTAAATGGTATATTATTCTAAATGTCATCTTAGACTAAAAATATCCTATAGGAGGTCCTAAGATAAGTTATAAAATAACATAATACAACTATTTCTGTGAAAATAATGTTTCCTGCTACCCTATGACACTTCCATACAGCTGCTGGGCTACTTTATGCTTAGTGATGCGGGGGGGGGGGGGTCATCATAAAAAGATACTGACAACAATAGGAAATTCTTGGCTTTGAAGTTTCAAAAGCCAAGTTAAAAGATTAGTCATTACTTGGAAGACTCAGAAGAATATGCCATCTTTCAGAGTCCAGGTCCAGCTCTGAGTGCAAGGGGACAGTGCGCCCTGCCCTGCCCACTCTCCATCCTGGTCCCAAGGCAATGTCCCAGAACCGATAAGGGTCTAGATTCCCCTGACGCAAACAGGGTGCAGGATCAATAGAAATGCTCACATGGGGTGTCTAGGCTAAAGACCAGGAGATAGTCTCACAGATTCCCATGATCTCCACGGTGAGTAACCCAACAGGTGGGTTTCTCTTACTTCAGATGGGAAGAATATGATCACTTCCTGAGAGCTAAAGGGGAGATTAAAATTTGCCATGAATGAGAATATGGAATGACAGACATGCATGAACAACCTACATGGGTAGAGGACACATGGCTGAGGACCAGAAAAGTCAGAGGTCAAAGGTCTCAGCAGGTGGCATCAGAGCCAAGCTGCACCACTCCCTCCCCAGCACATTTCCAAGGAGAAGACGCTCCCATTTCTTCACAGAGCAGAAGGGAATTCGTAAAAGTAACCAAATTCAACTATGAACCATAAAAAAAGCTATGACTTGCCCTGATTCCATAGTCAGAGATTCACAGTCAATTAATTTAACTAGTTTCCCTTTACATTTTGCATTGATTTTCCAACACCTAATGATATGTTCTACATAAAGAGTGTACTCTGCAACTATTTAACACAATGCATTTCTTCCCTTGGTTTTGTGTTTGTGTAACTGTCTGAGGATATAGCTCTCTCTTCCCACACCCCAGTGGTTGCCACTGGCCACATGTGGCTGTTAAGGACATGAAATGTGGCCCGTCTAAATTGAGAAACATTGTAAGTATAATGCACACGTGGAATTTTGGGGATTTAGCATAATAATAAGAAAGTAAAATATCATACTAATATTTCTGTAATTATTGCACACTGATAGTATTTTGGACATATTGAGTAAAAGAAAAATATATTATTAAACAGAATTTCACCTGTTTTTTTACTTTAAAAAAAAAAAAGTGCCCCCTAGGAAATTAAAAGTTTCCAATGTGACTTGCACTTTTATTTCTATTGGACAATACTGCCCTCTATGCTCATTGATGTTGATCTCATTTACTTTCACCAGCGTAACCACCATCACTGCTTAATTTTTTCCATGTGGAAAATAATTAAAATTAGAATTTAATTTTTCCATTGGACACTTAGTGATTATATGTCTAGTATTTCCTGACAGGGTATCCTGAAAATTACATAGAAAAAAAACGAGATGTCTTACATCTCATTTCCTGATAATTGGGAATGATCAGTCAGTCTGTAATTTGTACAAAAAAGGAACAGATTTTCTTAAAAGTAATTAATACCTCTGATATTTACTTAAAAATGCTTGATGACTAAATGGATATAATTAAATTTTCACAAGTGAAACGGGTATAAAAATGAAGAGAAAAAATGTGGAGTTTTCAAATTTTATTAGATTTATTTATCTTGTTCATAATTGTATATATGTTGTGTTACATTAAAAATAGGATAATACGGCAGGGTTTCATTTACCAAGAGGTTATTTGTTAAAGTATAAGGGAACAACAGGGAGGGTGCATTAATCCAGGGCTAATAGAGCACCTGAGATTCTGCGCCCCTAGTCCTGAAGTGGGCCATTAAGAAAGGGACTGTGGCCTTCATTTGGGTCAGCTTGAACTGGATGTCTCACAGGCTCATCAAACTAACATGTCTGAGAAAGTATCCAACAATACCGCATGATATCCAGACAAAGTCACAATGCCAATGAACCCATTTCTTTATTTTTATCTTTTTTAATTTTAATGTTTTATTTATTTTTTAGATAGAGAGGAAGGGAGAGGGAGAGAGAGATAGAAACATCAATGAGAGAGAAACATGGACTGGCTGCTTCCTGCAGGGCCCCCATCAGGTATTGAGCCTGCAACCAGGACATGTGCCCTGACTAGGAATAGAACCTGTGACCTCTTGGTGCATGGGATGATGCTCAACCCACTGAGTCACACCGGCCAGGCTTATTTCTTTATTTTTAAGATGAAGATAAGCTAGGTGCTGCTAAGGCAGACATAGGAGATGCTAAGAGTGAGGAAGAGGACAAGGAGGTGTAAAAAATCTTGAAGAAGCTGGACCAGAGGTTAATAAAGTGAAAGTAGCTAAAAATAGGAAATTATTTTCTTTTTCTTTTAAAAAAGCATTAAGTTAAGCATGCATTGTGCTAGATATTGAGTATAAAAAAGAGATGGAGACACTTCCGTCTGGTGGGGAAGATAGGTAAATACATTATAATGATTTTAAAAGTTAAGTAAGATAGACTTGTCCGCAAGGTTCACAGAACATTAGAAAAATTATAGCATCCATTCGTTCATTTCATTTATTCAGAGAGCATTTCCGGAGTCCTCATTACATTGCTTGAAGCAGCCTAGTGAAGGTACTTGGGTAGCAATTCGGGTAGCAAGGATGGAGCTACAGAGTAGGGAGAGATTACACTGCTTGGGGGGGCGGGGGGGTTCAGACAATGTCAATTGTATTGTTAGGTGTTACCCGAGCAAAGAGTTAAGGTTGACAATGGAAGAAAATTCTAGAAAAGAATAAAGTGGATAAGTCAGAAAGAGTTTGGGCTTTTGTGATATCCCAAATTGATTTTGGTGAAATCGCAAGGGGGCACATATTTTCCTGCATCATCAGTTTTATTAAAAGTATCTGTAGTACAAAAGCACAAGCTTTTCATTATTACACTATGGATATATTATGTAGTTGATGCAATAGCATATGAATTAGTAAGATATGACAGGAAACGAAATTCCACAGCGGAGCAGGAAGATGGCTTTGGCTCTCTCCGCTGCAGACGCTGGGGCTGGAGTTCATGATCCTCATCTCTCAGACGACAGCTAGAATCTAGGGCAAGATACCTGGAGAACATCGAACATTTTAATTGTGCCAGAGAAGTGAGGGTTAGGTGCACGGACTGGGGAGAGCCTGTGACGCAGGAAACCAGGAGCCTGCGCTTTCTCCTCTGCTCCCTGGACTTCTCCTTCCCAAAAGATCCTCCACCAGGTGTCCTTTTGTCACCAGACCGCGCGCCCAGCTCAGGAACTGCCTTTTTCACTGCAGGCGTCCAGTTGCTAGGGCAACCTCTTCCGCGGGCGCGTCTGCAGCCTCCCTGTTATTGGCTTAGAAGGCGTAACGTGCGTCTGACGTCAATGCGCGGCGCCGCTAGATCCGGAGCCCGCGCGAATCCTCGCTGTCCCCAAGCTTCGGCGGCGAGCTGCTGCGCCCACGGCTGTTGACCGAGGCGCCGCTGGTCGAAAGCCCCGTCTGGGGTGGCGGCTGGTGTGTGGGTCGAGGCGGGAGAGAGGCGCGGTAGGAACGCGTCCCCGGAGCCGTGGGCTGCGGGTGCGGGGATCCCGTGGCGCCGCCCGCGCTCTGTGGGCCTAGCTGGCTTGCTCTCTGGCCTGTTGCTAGGGCCGCCGGACTCCGTTGCTAAGGACCCTGGTGATGCTGTGAGCCTAGAGCGCGTCCTTTGAGCCTAGGGCTCGGACTTTGGCTCATAATAGCCTTCGGTCGCCTTAATTGAAACCGGCCGCTTTTCCCTCCACCCCCAACCCCCTTTAAAACTCTGATTTTCTCCATCTCCTCCTCCCCCAACGTGCCCTCCTCGTTTCCGACTTTGACAACACCCGGCCCAGAAAGGGTCTTAGGTATTTAGAAATGTATGGTATTGGAGAGGGAGAAGCTAAGGAAATGGAAATAGAAGTTTAAGACCGTTAATACTGGCCCTTTGGTTTACTTTATGGTAAAAGGGTGTTGAGATAGGTGGATGTTGGGCTCTGTCGCTGTACTTTGGAATTTGAAGGAACTTTAGAGATGAAACATGGCTGTTTTAGTGGGGAGCCTGTTACACTTTTGGAACGTTCTAAACACCGGATTAGAGGAAATAAGGTAGCGTCTGCCCCTGAGAATTCAGCAAGCAGTTTCGTTTGGTGGTCTCAAAGCAGGGTGAGATGTGCATATAGAGAAGGAGACAGGATTTATGAGCTCTCCAAAACAATGAAAGGAAGATATGCTTTCCAGGCATTGACACAGATGCCTACAGACCCCTGTGGATGACTGGCAGCAGCCAAGGAAACAGAAGGAAGCAGTGCAGAAATTAGAGTGCATGAAGTGAACATTTGAGAAACAGATGGGGAAAGGCTGCATGAACTTGGGATTGCAGCTAGGTCTAGAAATACCAGCAGGCAGTGGGGGATATGAGTCTGGGTGTGTATGGTGGAGGATTCCTTGGTAGAGATATAAGTTTAGAAGTACTTTGGTGAGGCAGGAAATCATGGGCTATGAACTAGACCCCTTTCATTAACAGAAAAGGAAGTATGAAGATGGAGAGGTGAACCACCATTTGCTGGTGAGGAACTTGATATGCAATCTTATTTATTCAACAGCAGCCTTAATAGGCTTGGTTTACCTCTCTCCCTTTTAATAGATTAGTAAATAGAAGCTTAGGGAGGTTAAATAATCTGCCTCAAGTCATAAACCTCATAATTGGCAGAGATGAGATGCAAACTCAGATCAGAGCCCAGAGCTCTTTCTACCTCATCACACCAGGGTGAACACATGTGTAGGGTTGAGTGTAGGAAGCAAAGGGAAAGGAAACAGCAGTGATCAAGTGTTTCCGCTTGAAAGACCAGAAAACTGGTGGTACTTTGAATTATCAAGGGATGGAAAACTCAATGTGTGTGATAAACTCTGTTTTGGTCAAGTACAGTTTAAAGGAACTTATGGTGCGTTCAGTGCAAGAATTCATTATGTCACTGGAAAAGTAGGACTTGATATGCAGATGTTGACATTTGGAACTTTGGAAATATAGAGGCCAGAAAAGATAGAGATGTGCCAACCACTCCTTTCAAAAATCTAGTTCATGTTTTCTGCATATAACCAGAGGATTGCAATTGAGTATCTAATAGTGTATTTTGATAATTTGAATGAAAAAAAAAGTTTGCTTTTATACATTATATTTTCTTATAGCTGGTTTTTAATTTGCTGTTACTGACATTATTGAAATTGATCTAATTTTATATTTTCTCACTAGTCTTTTCAGGTGTTTTGCTCCATAGCATACCTTTTTTTGGTGTGTCTTTTATGGTATTTCCCACTCTATGCTCTTTTGCCCTTTATATTTTTAGTGAATATCTCTCCTCAAAAAATTTTGAAATCACGTTTCATGGAACTGCAGAAGTGAAGGTGAAGCAATGCAGAAATCAGAGTGCCATGGAGACACACAGTTGAGAAACAGAGTGACAGGTACACAGCACTGCTTTTTCAATGAAGAGGCGATCTTTATTAATGACACACTCCGTTATGCACATGGATGCGGGGTGAGCTTTATCGTTTTCACCTCGTTTTTGTTGATTTTCTGTTTCTTCCCCCAGGTAATTATAATCAAAGGACATCACCAAGTCCACAAATAAAGCATAGGACTACAGTTCAGCGAAGCAAATCCTCACCTTCAACCAACTCTCCAGATTCTGCAAGAAAAGTTCATCCTCGACCAAGTGATAAACTTAACCCTAAAACAATTAACCCGGTAGGTACGAAAGAGATTCCTAACTCAGTAGGCTTTTCTAAGTAATATGTACTTAGCACACTATCGAACCATCTGAATTCTGTCTTAAATCTCTTTTGTTAGTTTTGAGGTAGCGATGAAGGAAGGGCGTAGGGTAATGATGATGAAGAATAGAGATGATGTGGAAGTGCGTGCAGGTGAGAAGGTGTGAAGTAGTAGATATTAACCAGTTTGGGCATATCTTGTCTCTGTGGATGAGTATTGTAGAATATAAAATAAATTGCATCTCAGCTTTATTTTATATTCACTATGGTTATTTGACTTCCTAATATTAGTAAATAAACTTGTGTTTAATCGCTGTAGGATGAATTACATGCCTCCATAGTTGCATAAAGGTCTTTAACCTTATTTATTTATTTATTTTTATCCTCACCCGAGGACATTTTTCCATTTTTTGTTCAGATAGAGTGGGAGGGAGAGAGAGGAAGAGAGAGAAACATCGACTTGAAAGGGACACATCGAGTGGTTACCACCCGCAGGACCCAGCCAGGGCCAGGGACAAACTGCAACCGAGGTACGCGCCCTTAGCGGGAACCAAACCCAGGTCTCTCTGGACCGCAGGCCGACGCTCTAATCACTGAGCCAAACCAGCCAGGGCAAGCTCTTTAACCTTATTTCTATGATTTATAAATTTGCTACACCAAAAATCCTAAGTACAGTACTAGCCTCCTTATGCCTTTTCACAGCAGTTTAATCAGATTTAACAAACATGAAATTTAAGCACATGTTGTATGTAGATTAGTGAATTATCCAAAAGTGAACACATCTATGCAACAATACCAGATGGTGTGCGGCCCAACCTTGCACAGGGTACGGTGATAGTGGTTTCAGCACTTGAAAGGGTTATGAGAATAGCTGATAACTCTGATTTTGATGGCAGGTGAAATATGGCAGATATTTTAGTAAGTACACAAGAACTATCTAAGGACGCAGGACATTATCTGACTTAGAAAAGAAAAACGAAAAATAGTTTGCGTATCTATGTTTCCTTGCTTCTTTTTGTAACCTACACAATGTCAAGGAAATTGAAATTCTAAAGAATGCCCTGATATCTTGCTGTTTCTTCCTTTTTCCATATCTAATTGAGGGAATTTGCAGCCCTGATTTGTCTTAATTTTTTATCTAATATAAGCAACACTTTTTTAGTTAACTTTTTTATCTGATATGATTCTTACTTGAAAACAATTTTTAAAATATATTTTTCTTAAAAGGAATTATAACCTGATGAATGAAATATTACTATTGCCGTGAATTATTACACAGAACATGAATTTGGCTTTGCAAGTCTTTTATTATGTTTTATTTTATTGAAATTTCATATATGTATTTTTATTCAAAACATGTTTTTCAAGAGGGAAAGGACTAATTCTAAACATATGCTTTTTAAAGAAATTTTTTTATTCTTCATTTATTTTCAGATAGCATGTGAGGGAGGGAGAGAGAGGGAGAGAAAGAGAGAGAGATATTGATGTAAGAGACACATTGATTAGCTGCCTCCCGCACGACCCTGACCAAGGTATGTGCCCTTACTGGAATTGAACCTATGACTCTTTTGGTCAGAGGGCCGATGCGCTAACCTCTGAGCCAAACTGGAAGGGCAAAACATATGCTTTTAAGTATATTTTTGAATTACTGCATCTGATTAAAAAATTTTTTAGCTGGTTATATACATTAAGTTTTTATTTTGTAATTTAAACAACTGTGTTTCTTTAAATTATATTGAAAATACCATGTCATAAAATATTACTTTTTATGCCTTTAAGTCGCTGGTCAATTACATTGAAACTGTCTATGTGTGATTGTTTAACTGCTGTGATTGATCATCTCTTAAATTGCCTTTGAGAGTAGATCCAGAATTAATCTAGTCTTAAGATAATAATGCGTGGCAAAACTGAAAGCAGCAAAGTTATATATCTAAGCAGACACATCTGGGCACATATTTGTGAGAGTTGTGCTCTAGCTCCATCTGTCACCCAATGCAAACTTGATTTTATGGAGGCATAAAGCCACTTTGGGAAATGACAGGTTCTCTGACCATCCAGACCATCTATACTTAGCTGGAGGAGAAGTAGGAAATGTGCTGAAGGCTAAAAATAAAAATATGTTTCCTCACTGAACACCTCTTCTCCATTCATCTCTAACCTTAGAAGGTTACAGTAGGGAGGGAGTTAGAAAGAAGGGATTTTATTATATTTATTATGATATTTACATTTATCTATATATGACTTCAGGCACCTTCGAGCCTTCTGAAACAAGTTAGGGGTGAAAGGAAATACACAAAGTGTGTGTGTGGTTGTGTATTCGGTCCTGAGAGGACGGATGCATTTCCTCAGTGGTATTGCTAAGTTGAGTGATACACTGGAAAGTTGAAAGTTGCTTGAAAGTCAGGGTGTGTGTTTGCCTGTGACCTGAGCAGGATTAAAATTGATTAGCTATCACAGAATGGAGGTGAGAGTAATATTTATTGTATTCATGTATTGTTTTATTTCAGTTTGGTGAACAGTCACGAGCCCCTTCCGCGTTTGCAGCTGTTTACTCTAAAGGTGGTATTCCTTGCAGGTAAAATCAATGCAAGTTATAACTCGCCATGTTATTCAAAATAATTGAGTAGAATCAATACATTATTCAGTTTAAATGGATTGAAAGTTTTATTTACGAGGTTGTTGAGATAAAGGTGACTTACACTTTGGGGTTCTTGGATTGGTATCGATCCTGAGACATAGTTGGAGAAAATAATTTTAATTCCAAAATAGAATTGCTAAATAGATCTATAGTAAACCACCAAATAATGTAAGAAATTGAACTGGTTTCTAAAACAATTTAAACATTCTCTGGCTTGAACAAGTTGCAAATAATCCAATTTTGTTTATAAACTGAAAGTTGACAATTGAATGAAATTATTTTATTTTTATTTTTTTGGACTTATATTTTAAAAATTTCAAAATTATTATTTGTTGAAATTATATTTCTTTTTTTTTTTTTTTTATCCTCACCTGAGGACATTTTTGCATTTATCTTCAGATAGAGCGGGAGAGAGAGAGGGAGGAAGAGAGAGAGAGAAACATCGACTGGTCGCCACCCATACGACCCCAGCCAGGGCCAGGGACAAACTGCAACCGAGGTATGTGCCCTTAGTGGGAACTGAACCTGGGACTTTCCGGTCTGCGGGCCAACTCTCTAACCGCTGAGCTAAACCGGCCAGGGCGAAATTATATTTCTTAATCGGTACATACATGTCTTTTTTTTTTTCATTGCTTGTTTTTGATATAATTCCTGCCACCTTTCTGGAGAGAGATCAAAACTATTTTATTTATTTGTATATTTTTTAAATTATTTTTGTTACAGATGTTTCTCCTTTTTCCCCCACTGATCCCCCCCTCCTTCTCCCTCCCCATCCTGTCCCCAGCTTTGTCGTCCATGTCTGTGTCCATTGCTCATGCATACATGCATATAAGTTCTGTGGTTTATCTCTCCCCCCCACCCCCTCTTCTGGGGATTGTCAGTCTATACTCCACTTCCAAGTCTCTGGGACTACCCCATTCCTCAGACTGTTCATTATATTCCACAAATAAGTGAGATCATATGATACTTGTCTTTCTCTGTTTGGCTTGTTTCGCTTAGGATAATACTTTCCATGTCCCTCCATGTCGTCTCAAAGGATAAGAGATCTTTCTTTCTTACAGCTGCATAGTACTCCATTGTGTATATGTACTTCAGCATTTTTATCCATTCACCTACTGATGGACATTTGGGCTGTTTCCAGATCTTAGCTATTGTAAATAGTGCTGCTACAAACATGGGGGTACATATATTCTTTCTGTTTGGTGTTTCAGGCTTCTTAGGGTATATTCCTAGAAGTAGGATCACTGGGTCAAATGGCAGTTCAATTTTTAATTTTTTGATGTACCACCATATTTTTTCCCATAGTGGCTGCACCAGTCTGCATTCACACCCACGCCAGTGTACTAGAGTCCCCTTTTCTCCACACCCTCGCCAACACTTGTTTGATGATTTGTTGATGGCGGGCATTCTGACAGGTGTGAGGTGATACCTCATTGTTGTTTTAATTTGCATCTCTCTGATGATTAGTGATGTTGAGCATTTCTTCATGTCTCTTAGCCATTTGTATGTCCTGTTTGGAGAGGGGACTATTTAGTTCCTCTGCCCATTTCTTAATTGGGTTCTTTGTCTTCCTTTTGTTCAGTTGTATGAGCACTCTATATATTTTGTAAATTAACCCCTTATCTGATGTATTGTTGCAATTATGCTCTCCCATACAGTGGGTTGCCTTTCCATTTTGGTGGTTGTTTCTTTTGCTGTGCAGCAGCTTTTTAGTTTGATGTAGTCCCATGTGTTCCTTTTCTCCTTTGTTTCTGTTGCCTTAGGTGATGTATCACTGAAAATTCTGCTGCGTATGATGTCTGAAATTTTGTTGCCTACATTTTCTTCTAGGATTTTTATGGATTCATGAGTCATATGTAAGTCTTTTATTCGTTTTGAGTTTATTCTTGTGTATGGTGTAAGTTGATGGTCTAGTTTCATTTTTTTGCATGTAGCTGTCCAATTTTCCCAACACCATTTATTAAAGAGGCTGTCTTTACTCCATTGTATGCTCTTGCCACCTTTGTCAAATATTAATTGAGCATATTTCCTTCCTTGGGTCCATTTCTGGGTTCTCTATTCTGTTCCATTGATCTATATGTCTTTTCTTGTGCCAGTACCCAGCCGTTTTGATTACAGCGACTTTGTAGTATAACCTGAAATCTGGTAATGTGATCCCTCCAACTTTGTTCTTCTTTTTCAAGATTGTTGTGGCTATTCGGGGTCTTTTTTGCTTCCATATGAACTTTTGAAGTATTTGTTCTAGTTCTGTGAAGTATGTCCTTGGTATTTTGATGGGGATTGCATTGGATCTATAGATTGCTTTGGGTAGTATGGACATTTTAATGATGTTAATTCTTCCAATCCATGAACAAGGTATGTGCTTCCACTTTTTTATGTCTTCCTCTATTTCTTTTTTCAATGACCTGTAGTTTTCTGCAAATAGGTTCTTTATTTTTTTAGTTAAGTTTATTCCTAGGTACCTTAATTTTTTGCTGCGATGGTAAATGGGATTTTTTTTAGTTTCTCTTTCTGTGAGTTCATCATTGGTGTATAAGAATGCCATCGATTTCTTGATGTTAATTTTGTATCCTGCTGCTTTGCCAAATTCATTTATTAAGTTTAGTAAATTTTTGATGGAGTCTTTGGGGTTTTCTACATATAGTATCATGTCATCTGTGAATAATGACAGTTTCACTTCCTCCTTTCCAATTTGGATCCCTTTCATTTTTTCTTCCTGTCTGATTGCTGTGGCTAAGACTTCCAGTACTATGTTAAATAAGAGTGGCAAATGTGGGCATCCTTTGTCTTGTTCCTATTCTTTTTTTTTTTTTTTTTTTTTTTTTATCCTCACCCGAGGACATTTTTTATTCAGATAGAGTGGGAGGGAAAGAGAGGGAGGGAGAGAGAGAAACATCGACGCGAAAGGGACACATCGAGCGGCTGCCACCCGCACAACCCAACCAGGGCCGGGGACAAACGGCAACTGAGGTACGTGCCTTTAGTGGGAACCGAACCCGGGTCTCTCCAGACCGCAGACCAACACTTTAACCACTGAGCAAAACCGGCCAGGGCTTGTTCTTATTCTTAAGGGAAATGCTTTTAGTTTTTGCCCATTGAGTATGATGTTGGCTGTAGGTCTTACATATATGGCCTTTATTATGTCGAGATATGATCCCTTTATTCCCAGATTGCTGAGCATTTTTATCAGAAATGGGTGCTGGATTTTGTCCAGTGCTTTTTCAGTGTCTATTGATATGATCATATGATTATTATCTTTCATTTTGTTTATGTGGTGTATCACATTTATTGATTTGTGAATATTGTACCATCCTTGCATCCCTGGGATGAATCCCACTTGGTCATGGTGAATAATTTTTTGATGTAGTGCTGGATTCGATTTGCTAGTATTTTGTTCAGGATTTTGTCATCTATATTCATCAGGGATATTGGCCTGTAGTTTTCTTTCTTTGTAGTGTCTTTTTCTGGTTTTGGAATTAGAATTATGCTGGCCTCATAAAATGAGTTTGGAAGTATTCCGTCTTCTTGAATTTTTTAAAATAGTTTTGAGGACAATGGGTATTAGTTCTTCTTTGAATGTTAGGTAAAATTCCCCCGTGAAGCTATCCCGGCCCGGGCTTTTGTTTGCTGGGAGAGTCCTGATTACATCTTCAATTTTTGTTGTTGTTATTGGTCTGTTCAAATTTTTTATCTCTTCCTGGTTCAGTTTTGGGAGACTATGTGTTTCTGCAAATTTGTCCATTTTGCTTAGATTGTCGAATTTGTTGCCATATAATTGTTCATAATATTTGTTAACAATCCTTTGTATTTATGTGGTGTTAGTTATTACTTCTCTTTCATTTCTGATTTTGTGTTTGGGTTCTCTCTGTTTCTTGGTGAGTCTAGCTAAGGTTCCATCAATCTTGTTTATCTTTTCAAAGAACCAGCTCCTTGGTTCATTGATTCTTTGGATTGTTTTTTTGGTCTCCATGTCATTTATTTCTGCAATGATCTTTACTATTTACTTCCTTCCTTCTTCTTGCTCTGGGTTTTTTTTTTTTTGCTTTCTAGTTCTTTAAGTTGTGAGATTAGATAGTCTAATAGAGACTTTTCTTGTTTCTTGAGATAGGCCTATAGTACTATGAACGTCCCTCTCAGAACTGCTTTCGCTGCATCCCGTAAATTTTGTGTTGTTGTGTGTTCATTTTCATTGGTTTCCAGGAAGTTTTTAATTTCTTCCTTGATCTCCATGGTAACCCATTCATTGTTCAATAACATGCTATTTAGCCTCCATGTGTTCAAATGTCTTTGCTGTTCTTATTGCAATTGATTTCTAGTTTCATGCCATTGTGATCTGAGAAGATGATTTCAATCTTCTTGAACTTGTAGAGATTTAGTTTGTGCCCTAACATGTGGTCTGTCTTTGAGAATGTCCCATGTGCACTTGAGAAGAATGTGAATTCTGCAGTTTTGGGGTGTAATTCTTTATAGATATCTATGAAATCCATTTGATTTAGCACTTCATTTAGAGTCCGTATTTCCTTGTTAATTTTTTGTCTAGATAATCTATCCAGTGATGTCAGTGGGCTGTTGAAGTCCCCTGCCATGATTGTATTGCTGTTGATTTCTCCTTTGAAGTCCTCCAGAAGATTTTTAATATGTATTGGTGCTCCTATACTGGGTGCATATATGTTTACCAAGGTTATATATTCCTGTTGGATAGACCTTTTCAATATTATGTAGTGGCCTTCTTTGTCCCAAGTAATGGCCTTCATTTTGAAATATACACTATCAGATATGACTATTGCTACCCAGCTTGTTTTTGCTTTCCGTTTGCTTGGAAGATTTTTTTTCCATCCCTTCACTTTTAACCTATGTGAGTCTTTTGTTGTGAGGTAGGTTTCTTGTAAACAACATATATGTGAGTCATGCTCTCTTATTCAGTCAGCTACTCTGTGTCTTTTTATCAGAGCATTCAAACCATTCACATTTAAGGTGATAATTGATACATACTTATTTATTGTCATTTTTGTTTAGTGGATTCTATTTTTCTTCCTATTTATTATACTAATTACAATAGTCCTTTCAGCATATGTTGCAGTGCTGGTTCGGTGTTAATATATTCCCATAGCCTTTTTTTGTCTGGGAAGCTCTTTATTTGACCTTCTATTTTGAATGATAGCCTTGCTGGATAGAGTAGTCTTGGATTCAGATCCTTGTTCTTCATGACCTTGATTACCTCATGCCACTCCCTTCTGGCCTGTAGTGTTTCTGTTTAGAAGTCAGCTGAGATCCTTATGGGGTTTACTTTGTAGGTAACCTGTTGCTTATCTCTTGCTGCCTTTAGGATTCTCTCTTTGTCTTTAATTTTTGGCATTTCATTGACTATGTGTCTTGGTGTGGGCCTGTTTGGGTTCTTCTTATTTGGGGTTCTCTGTGCTTCTTGAACTTGAATACCTTCTTCCTTCACCAAGTTAGGAAAGTTTTCTGTCACTGTTTCTTCAAATATATTCTCTAACCCTTGCCTATTTTCTTCATCTTCGGGGACTACTATGATGCGAATGTTGTTACATTTCCAGTTGTCCCACAGTTCTCTTAAGCTATCTTCCTGTTTTTTAATTGTTTTTTTCTTTTGGTTTTCTGATTGGTTGATTTTTTTCTACCCTGTCTCCTAATTCATTGATCAGGTCCTGAGCTTACTCTACTCTGCTGGTTAGTTCTTCCAGTGTGTTCTTTATTTCTGCTATGTCATTCTCCATTTCCTCCCGGTTGGTTTTCAATGTTTCTCTATCTTTACTCATGGTGCTGATGTCCTCACTCATGCTGTTGAGCTTCCTCAAGATCATGGCTCTGAACTTTACCTCCGATAATTTGCTTAATTGCATTTCATTGATCTCATCTTCGATAGAGTTCTCTTGTTCTTTCATTTGGGATTTGTTTCTTTGTTTCACCATTTTGGCTATCTCAGTGGGTTTTGGAGCCTGCCAAATTTTCCCTGTGGGTGTTGGTGTTCTGCTGTTTGTGGCTCCCTCTACTCTGTTTGGATGAGCCTGGGTGGGCCCACGTTAAACAGCTGCCCAGGGGGGCTCAACTCCTGCTCAGCTTTTGCTATAGTTTTTGCAGGTGGGTCTCAGCTGCTAGTCTGTGCTTCTGTTGCCTGGGATGGATGTCTGCTCCCCAGCCTCTGTTGCTGGGGGTATATCTCGACTCTGATCGGGCTGCTACTGCGGCGGATGGTGCTGGGCTTCCAGCTGTCTGCTGCTTCCATGACCAGCACCTTGGCAGCTCCACTACTGTGCACTGGTCTGTGTTGACACAGAGTGTCCACTGATCCGATGGTGCCAGGTGCACTGGTGGGCTCAGGTTGCTGGGCCTTAGCCGCTCCCACTGCCTCCTCCCAGGGAAGACCCGAGATCTTCCAAAATGGTAGGACCTCCCGGTGGAGCAGGGAAAAGTGCCCTGAAGGGCTGCTTACCGAGGTAGCTGCTGCTCCGTCCACAGCACAGGGACCTTCTGCTCCGCGGCTCTGCACTGCTCGGGTTTGGTCATCCACCTTCACGTCCACTCACACTCTCTCACACACTCACCCTCCCTCCAGTCCTACCCGCCGTCTTCTCATCTGTGATCGAGATCAAAACTATTTTAAAGAAAGCGATATAGATTACTAACAGATTTTTAAGACTTTACTCTCAAGAAACATTTGTTTCTTCTAAGAATATCCAGTTTTAGCCTATTCTAGTTGATAGAAAATTTTATTTTCATTGTGGAAAGAATAATCACAGCATCCTTTTTTTTGCCTAATATTTAAGAAATATTGTTTTTAATGGTATTTTCAGATTTGGAGGACTATCATTGAAAAATAAGATCAATAAACATTCTTCAGTTTATTGTTGTTATTGTTAGTTTATATTTATATTCTGAATTAAAGCTCTGTTCTTAGTCCTCCTTTTCCCACCCAGAGTAATTTATTGTTGCTAAAAATGTAAAACAATGTTACTGAGGCCTCTTGACTCACTAATGAAGGAGTCAAGAAATTGAGAACATTTGGGGATGATAAAGAAGTTCACTGTTAGGATTGTGTGGTGATGGTTCAATGTGTATATTCATGTATCAGAACTTATCACCTTGTGGCCCTGGCCGGGTCCTAGGTTAGGGTGTCATCCCGACACACCAAGGTTGCAGGTTTCATCCCTGGTCAGGGCACATGCAGAAACAACCAATTAATGCATACATAAGTGGAACAACAAATTGATGTGTGTCTGTGTGTCTGTCTGTCTGTCTCTCCTTCCCTCCCTCAACAAATCAATAAATAAAATTAAAAAAAAAAACTTACCACATTGTACACTTTAAATAAGTGCAGTTTATTACATGTGAGTTATACCTCATTTTAAAAAGGAAGCAGCCGCAACTTTTATTCAAGGGGCTACCACTTTGTTACCCCGCATGGGCTCATCAGTTTTCTTTTTTTCTAACGGATAAAACCTGGCTTGACTTAATGTCATTCATGTTGGGGTTCAATTATCTATATCTGAAAAACAGTGCTTATTATAAAATAAATTACTGAGTTGTTGTTTTTTTTGTTTTTAAATAATTTTTTTTCTTTATTGAATTTAGAGAGAAAGGAAGGGAGAGGGAGCTAGAGATAGAAACATCAATGAGAGAGAACATCAATTAGCTGCCTCCTGCATGCCCCCCACTGGGGATCAGGCCCACAACCTGGGCATGTGCCCTGGACGGAAATCAAACCAGTAACCTCTTGATGCAAGGTCAATGTTTAACCACTGAGCCACACCGACCAGGCTAAATTATTGTTTTTAATGATCACATTTGTTCCTTTTTTTTTTTTTTCAGTAGATTATTTTGTTATAATTATGACTGAACCGTATCAACTGTAACATTTACATTGAGACCCACAGGTAGCAGCATGCTTGAGCTCCAAAGCTGTAGGCTTAGCAAATGCATGGTGGTTTAGTTTTGCCAACAAACAATTTTGCTGTAAGGGTAGGAGTTTGTAGGATTATGTAATGTAATGTAATTGATGTCTTTGAATTATGGTTTGAAGTCATGGTTTTCCTGCATGTTATGAAATAATACTAATATGGTTATGTTCTACAAAGAGTATGTGTATGTTAGATAATCATTGCTTAATATATAATTCTATTGTTCTTGTTACTTTCACTGGTGTTTATATTTTAGATTGGTCCATGGTTCAGTAAAGCACAGACTGCAGTGGGACTCTCCTCCTGAGCATCTTTCATTTGATCCTCTTCTTATTACTTTAGCTGAGGTAAATCAATACTCCATCTCTCCTAAGTGTTTATGGGAAAAGGGCTTTTAAAGTTGCAATAAATGTTATTTTGTAACTCGACAGTAAATCTTATTCTTTACTTTTGAAATAAGAGCCAAACAATAGGCATTAAAACACTACGCATTCTTCTTAGGAACTAAATATAATTGACGTATGATTATTAGAAACTAATAATCAGCTTTATAAACATGAGATTAATCTACACATGGATTTGTAGATAAGTGGTTGAAATATTCACACTTAACTCAAAATATGAAAGTGTAGTAATGTGGAGGAAGATCTTTATGAAACTAGTCAAAGCAAGACAACATCAGTGGTTCAGATTTAAACCACATCCGGTAACGGTGAGTACGTGGTCTCTCTGTACAGCTGGTCCTGTTCAACACTGTTTCTCGGGAAACCGATATTAACTACCTATTGTTTTTCTGTAACATTCTCCAGGATTTTGCATACTTGTACATTTTAAGTAGAACACGCCGGAGGTGTTTTTATAGAAGATTAAAAAAACAACCTTGGATAGGTTCCTTTATAATATTTAACATTTGTGCCAGGAAAACACGTTGTAAAATCATGGTAAAGGTCAAAGGTCCAGTAATTCTGCATTCATAAAGTGGTGTTCATAAACACATTCTAGACTAATTTGTGGTGCTCTCAGGCAGTGTTTAGGAATACACACTTGTATTTACTATCCTAGTGAATTTTTCTCTTCCTTTTTCTCCTTTTTATTTACCTTTCTTTTCCCTCCTTCCCCCCTTTTGTTTTTCTCCCTTTCTTTCCTTTTTTAAAATTCTCTATATTTATTTTTTGTCTTTTTTCCCCTGTTTCTTTCATTTTTTAAATTATTTTTCTTTTTCTCCTTTCTTCTTTCTCTCCTTTCAGTGGATAGAGATCCTTTCTGTCCATGTATGTCTTTCATTCCACAGTTTCTCTGTTTCATTAAAATTGTAGTTACTGAAATTATAGATCATGATCAGGAAAAAAATAAAATTTGATTTTTACTTACATTAGCAAGTATTCAATTTTTCTTATTAACATAATCAAATGTGTAGTGAATCATGTGGATTCTTTTTGTTTTGATTTGGTCTTTGGCAGGGTCTGAGAGAGACTAAACATCCATACACCTTTGTTTCGAAGGAGGGTTTTAGAGAATTACTTTTGGTCCGAGATGCTCCTGAGAAAGCTGTGCCTGTGCTTCCTAGACTGATCCCTGTGCTGAAGGCAGCTCTGGTATGTGCTTTATTCTTTGGACTTTCTGTTGTACATTTAGGATATTTATCGTCTTTTCTCCCAAATTACGTGCACATTAGCTTTTCACCTGCGACTTTGATGCGTGTGCAGAATTAGGTCGCTATTCTTCAGGGCCAGACTTACTGAAAACACCTTTAAGAGGATGTGCTAAAGGTAAGATGCGACATTTTGACTAATTAGAGTAATGAACCGCAAAGCAGTCTTTCCGCGTGCTGTGATGTATCTTAGTTAATGTTTCAGTCAGGCTGAAAATTTGTATGTTGCTTCTACATATCTCTCATTAAAGGTTATTTTTAAAATTCTAGGTTTGGTTGATTATCTTCTAATTTGGAATATTCAGTCTTAGTTCTTTCCCACGGCTTGCCTTTTCTCTTAACCCATCCTTTTTTTCTTTTTCTCTTCCTTCCCTTTCTATCCCTGTACCCGCGACCAACCAATGCTCCATAGTCCCATTCGGATGATGACGTGTTTGAAAGAGGATTGAATGCCCTGGTACAGTTAAGTGTTGTCGTCGGTCCTTCTCTAAATGACCATCTGAAACATCTGCTTACAAGTGTGAGTACTGACAAGATTAGAGAGTGGGGAATATGCATTATGCACTGTCTGTATCTCTTCATGTTGTCATGGCTCAAAATGATTCAGTACCTCAAAAAAAAAGAAATCATCCTAACCAAAATCATCCTTGTGGCTCATACACATCTTACAGAGGACAGTGTGCTCCTTAAATATTTTTAGTGGAAAGCACCTACATGAGCAGAGTTTGGGTTGCAGTGAGAAGTAAGCAAAGTTGAATGCGCACAAATTAATGAACAGTGTAATGGTATCATGCCCACGTTGATTAGCTGTGAATTATAAGGACAGCTTATTCACCCTCTTGTGTAACTATATGTTGCCACTGCCATGTTTTTTGTTTTTTTAATCCTTACCCGAGGACATTTTTCCATTTTTTGTTCAGATAGAGTGGGGGGAGAGAGAGGAAGAGAGAGAGAGAGAAACATTGACGTGAAAGGGACACATTGAGTGGCTGCCACCCGCACGACCAACCAGGGCCGGGGACAAACTGCAACCGAGGTACATGCCCTTAGCGGGAACCGAACCCGGGTCTCTCTGTACCACAGGCCGACGCTCCAACCGCTGAGCCAAACAGGCCAGGGTGCCACTGCCATGTTTTTTATCTTTTATTCTTTTTGATTTTTATTGTAAGTATTTTAGTGAGTCTGTATATAGCACTCAGGATGAGATGTTTTCCTGTTGCATGTAGTTTAATTCTTATCACAAATATACACAGGACAGTGCAGTTCAGGAAGTCCCCAAGACCACCCTTAGGTGGAGCAGTTTGCTGATTGTTCTCATGTTGCTTAGAAAATGTTGTTCACTGTTAGCTCATTACAGTGGAGGGACAGACTACTTCAGAGAGGGGAGGTGTGTGGAGCAGGGTCCAGGCCGGCGGGGGTGGCGCTGCTCTCCCTGGGGAGTGGTGCAGGCGGTGCTTGCTTTCCCAGCGAGGGTGTGTGGCCACGTGCCTGGAGTATTGCCAGGGACTCTCACCCGAGCCTCGGTGTCCAGGTTCTCCCTGGGGGTCTGTCACACAGGCATGATTGACTGCCAGCGTGGCTGACCTTAGTCTCCAGTCTCTCCCTAAGTAGAGCTGATACCTTGTCGCCACCACAAATCACATTGTAGTCACAGACTATCTGATGGGACCCATGGCTTCCAGGGAAACAGGCACTCTTACCTGGCAGGACATTCGAAGGGCTTAGAGGTTACCATTCAGGAGCCAGGGCCAAGGCCAACCCTTTCCTTAGGCAGTTAACCCTTTACTGTGTGCACTGGCACAAAGATTCAAGTCCTGGTTGAGATAACCCACAGCGAGGATGTCTCTGCATCTTTCTCCGGTTCAGAGCTGAGGCACGTGTGTTGATTATAGTTCCATTGTGTTTTCTTGGACCTACCACCTGGGAGATCCTAGAACTGTATTTTTAACTTCTTCCTCTTCAGAAAGACTAGTGCACCCAACAATCCACCCGGCTAAGCCTAAGTAGAGGTGCTGGTAAATCTATCACAATTGCTATGCTGAGGTTAGGAATAGTGGGAGATGAATTCCCACTAGGTATCTGGTGGGAGAAGACAGAATAGACCAGACTGGAAGTCGAGCAGCGACCAGCATCTTTGCTTTCTGAACAGCCTCCCACTCCTGGCCATCAGTGCAGAGAGAAAAGGCCAGATTAACAACTAAAGTATATACTTAAAAAAATAATTCTTTCAGGTCAGTGGCATTAATCTTTGGTGACAGTGCCCCCCAGAGCTGTGCCTTTTGAAAGACGAGGACTGACTGCAAGGCCTTTTGCCTTTCCGGGGGTCGGCGCCCAGGGAACCTTCGTGTCCCAGTGGTGTTCCATAGAGGAGGGCCTTGCAAATCGGCATGGGGGGCTTGGTTCCTGGTCTGCTCGTGCACACCGGGAGGCTGGCACCTCTGAGGGTCCACCGGGTGTTGTCCTGCTCCCTCCTTACCCCACTTACCCCACTGCCACTCCTTTGAGCTAGAAAGGCTTCATTTTCATGTTTTGTAGATTGCTGTGTTACACGAAAGGGTTCCTCTTCTAGAAAAGGACTTTCACAACCAGTTACTGAGCCTATATATGTACCTTCTCATTTGCAAAAGAAGTCATATCCTTCTGAGCTTCAGCGGGGAGACTACCCGCTGACCTAGGGCAGTGATTCTCAGACTTGGAGGAAATCAGTCACCTGGAATCTTGCTAACAATGCAGAACCTGGGCCTTTGCCCTGAGATTCTGGTCAGTAAGTATGGTGAGGGACCTGAGAATTATTCTTTTTGAGTGAGTATCTCAGGTAATTCTTACGGTGATGGTTCAGGGCCTTCAGGCCCCTGCTCCAGACTAAGACAGTCCAAAGAAAACCTAAGATCTGTCGGAGGCAGGCACTTTTTTCTTGTCATTCCTCAGGGCCTGTCCCATCCTTTAGAGTGGCTTTCTCATATTTTCAGTCTGTGGGAGTCTCTTCAGACCCTCCCTAACCTTCTATGACGTGGCTGAAGGGACCTGCTACTCAGTGCTCCGTGGCGCGAAGGACTGCTGGGTTCCTTCCGTGCCTGCGAAGAGGAAACACCGGCACCTCTGTGGGACGGGTGTCCTCTAAGTGTTTGGTCAATGACCAGTTCTTTCCGGGTCCATTTGTGTTCCCAGAAAGTGGAGCCGCGGAAGTGCTGCTGGGCGGCGAGCTGCACTGTGCTCTCTTCTGCACTGTGCTCTCTCCCTGCGCCGCCTGCAGCCGCTCGGGCTCACCCAGGCCCTGCTGTCCTGTGCTTCCAGGCAGATTCCTGTCCCTGCTCCCGAGTAACTCATGTAACTGCTGTCTTCTTTGTTGTCTCTTCCTATTCTTACTATCGGAAACACGTGTTTTGGAGGCTTGGCTTTCCATCATAGTTCTCCAAATGCCCTTGCAAATTACAAAATGGGAAAATATGCAGTTGCATAGAAAACTTACTCTGGGTGCCTCACTATAGCAGATTTTGTGGGATGGGTATTATTTGAAATAACTAAATTAATTTATTTTTCCCCCAACAAATAGAGTGGCATCTATTTCAATGAGATATTTCCTAAAAGAAGACCTGCAGTCTAAACAAATTAAGTGGTGTTTGTGTACCTGTTACACAATAAAGACTTAATGACATTATTTCTAATTAGCCTGTTTTTTAGTGATGTTTTACTTACTGTGGATATTACTACTTTTTCAAATCATTTTATTCCCTCAATCTTATTTTTAAAGCTTTTCAAGAGACTAAGGGACAAGAAGTTCAAAGAGCCCATCACCAAAGCGTTACAGAAGCTAGAGCAGCATGGTGGAAGTGTAAGTGACAGTCCTCCTTAATCATAGTTGTTTCTACCTTCAGTCATATTGCAAAATTGACTCTGTAGCCTGTTACCTCATTTCAGCCACAAGTGAGCATTTGGAGTTGATATTCCTCTTTCCATGTGAGAGCTCTGAGTTCCTGAGTTCCTAGGTCACACAGTTGTAAGCGCTGGGATTCGGCCCCGGGTGGTGTGAACACGGCCTGGCCACGTTCACTGCGCTCACCGCGTGCACTGCGGCAGGGCCGCTTCACAGGTGCTTTCCTTTATTTTGGATGTTTTTGCTTCGACCATTTAAAAGTTCAAAAACAGCAGGATTAATGTAGAGAGCGCATTGAAGAAAGTAATTTTCCTTTAATTTGCCATCTTTTCTGTCTAAAAAATTTATAATTTGCCTGTAATCAAAGATTGAAATGAGATTTCCAGATGGCTTTGACCTTTGGCAGTGCGTGCGTGCTTGAACAGGAGCATGTGTGTGCGTGCGCAGAGGGGTGCCGGTGACTATTCTAACTTGCAAGCAGGTGCGAAGACGCTAGGGGATTTCATTAGTATCTGTGTGGCGTCAGATAACTAGGCTGAGTTTTCATCGTTTGAAAGAAAGGTTCAGATAACCTAGTCTTGGAAATACTTCTGTAAAGCAGTGTTCCCATCCTATGTTTAGTCAGATCTTAATGATAGAGTTGCATATGATTATCTTAACATTGCAGAATTTAGTTTCATTCTAGGTACATTCAAAAGGAATTAATTATAACAAAATTTGTATGATCATATAGTTTTAAAACAGCAGATGTTTTAGTTTAAGCTTTGCCTAAATTACCCAATTTGACCAATTTCACTGACTTTTTAAATTGAAGATATCCTTTGCATGATGAATGCCTCAAATAAAGTTTAGGAGGAGGAAGTAATTTCCAAGGCTACTAGGTCATGGGTTTCTTTGTTTTGTGTGGGCCTCAGGCAGATGGTTAACATTCAGACACCTTGTGGTGAGGTACAAGACCATCCCCTAGCCAATCCAGTGTCCCTCAGCAGAAAGGACCTTCTTCCTTGCAAATGTGCTTGCTGCTCTGAGAATTGGAATGGAACATGAATTCCCTGTGAAATGCAAGTAAATAGATGCTTAATAATGATGGCACAGCTTTTCAATCTGAAACTCTTCCCAGGCGGTTTTCAAACGTCCTGTGGACTGGTCTGGGGAACGGGGCAAGCAGAGAGGGGCAGGCCCGGTATGTTAGTCTGCACAGGTGTGCCTGCAGAGGAGGGGCCCGTTGGTGCATCAAATTTAGAAATAGCACAGTGAGATTTGGATGGGGGGATACCAAGGGTGTAGTTGACCAGTCCAGGGTCTCAGAGATAGCTAGCAAGGCAGTTCCTCTTTTGCAACTCAGTCTCAGAATTTAAAACAAATGAAATCAATATTCTGTTGCAATTACATCAGTTATTATTTCATACCATATCATTACATATCAAAGATTTTCCCTTGGCTTAATTATTATTGCGCTTGCTTTGGATACTTTGTAGTCCTTCATGAAATTAATGAATGCTCTTTTTTTCCCTTCTAAAACTTAAACATTTGTTTTTCTTTCTCTTTCTTTAAATATTTAGAGAGGAAACATTAAAAAAGAATCTTCTCAGTGTCGTAGTTTCTCATTTCTTAGGACCTGCATGTCTCACAGTGATGGAAAGACTCAACTTCTGGGGAAACAAAAATATCAGTTACAGACAGTTACAGTGTTATTTTCTTATAACTAATCAGTTCACAACTGGCCTTAAATTGAGATTGGTTCAATCTTGATTTGTTTTTCTGTCTTTTTTCTAAGTGATAGCACATTTGTCTTAGGTACATACTTAACACACACCCCAGTGTTTGTTGAGCACGTGGGAGCGTATTAGGTGCCCAGTATTTTATTGAGTACTTTTAAGACATTACTCATTTAATTTTTACTACAACCCTTAGAGAGAGGTTTTAATGTCATCTCCCTTTAAAGATCTGGAAACTGACGCCCAGAGACACACTTAGCCCGAGATTTGACAGGGAAGTGACCGGCAGAAGCTGGATTCGAGTACTGGTAGTCTGGTTCCTAACCACTTCTGTAGTTAAATATTTTTTAAAAACAGTCAGAGATAACCCATATTTTATTTAACTCAGAAAAAGGTTTTACTTCTCATGTCATCATTCTACTCTTCTCCCATTTTGTTTACTTGGTTTGAGTTTTGGATACTTTTTAAGCATGCTTTTGCAAACGTATTATCTATTCGGGGGACCTGCATAAACTAACAAGGCTTATTTTGTTCTTTTTCTTTTTTCTGTTGACAGGAATGCCTTATCATCATCAAAGCTAAAATTCCAACGTATTGCTCCATATGTTGTTGAAGGAGGGCGCCAACAAAAATCTTCTTCCTACCTGGTGACAGGTGTTAAATCTGGAGACTTATGGAACCTTTTCAGATTCATTTTAGTTTATCCTTTTGTAAATCACAGCCACCATTTATTATTTACTGGTCTAAGATGAATATACACAATTCCACTGAATCATAGTAAGTCAGTCAACAACAAAAGAGAGTGGTTAATAATGGAAAGCTTTAAAAAAGTTCTATAATAGGACAGTTTTGTGGGGGTTTATTTTTCATATGTCTAGGGTTTGTGTGAACAAGTATTACTGGGTTTATAGTAGAAGTATTTGTATTTATTTTCTAATGTCTTTTATTTATAACATCCTTTTGCAATTAGTTTATAGTAATACACTTATTTCTAGACATTTTGCCATTTCCGAATTTTATATTAAGGCAAGGGAAATTTAAAATAGTGGACATTTGTGAATTCACTGTTAATTATTGTTTGTATGTGTTTTATAATGTAAAATGCTTGGGAAAATTTCTTTCCAGAGTATTGTAGGATAACATTTTTTTTAATGTGTAAATTCTTTTATAAATATATTGGTTTATTACACCTAAACTTTAGGTGTTAATTGCATTTAAGGATATGTTATTTTTGTATCTCATAGTCTGAGTTCAGTACATGGAGAGATTCAGAAAAGAATATGTTAAAACTCTTATATGTATGCATTGATTTTGTTGTGCTTGCTTATGTTGAACAATTAAGTTTAAAAGGCTTTTGAAATTTACAGGCATCGTCTGATGAGTATTGATGTAGTAGAAGCTGTCTCTGAAGCATTCTACCGGAGAGAGGAGAAGAGAAATAGAAAACAAGAATAAGACCTTTCACCTTAAAGGCAAGAAGAGAGCCCATAGAAACTCAATAGTCACACCACATCCAAGCAGACCTTGGGGGTCATTCACACAGGGGCAGCAATATCATATTCCAGGAGCGTCAGAGAAAACCCTTCTGTGCACCTTCCGTCCGGTCCTGGAGCGGCCTCTTTGCAGTCTCTCTAACTAGTCTTACTGCTGTAATTGGAAAGGGTGCAAGTAACTTCCGAAGCGTCATAGTTGCAGAAATGCTCGTCCTCCTCCAGATCTTCTGTGCTTCCCGTCTGGACTCTTTCCTCAGGTCTCATTTGTCACATCCTCAGGTCCTGTTAGCTGCACGCCCCCGGCCTTGCTTTTACTTTTCCTCGCCGCGCTCGGCACCACCCAAGGCAAACAGATCTACAACCCAGGAAACGCCCTAAGCGAAAATACTCTTAATCTAGCAATTATAAAATTTGTTGGAATAAAGACCTGTAACATACAGTAGAGTTATAAACATTTTATTTGCTTTTATTTTTTCTTTTTGAAATACAAAATGTGCACATTGAGTTTACACAAACACGCGATGGTGGATTTCAGTGTACATGTATTGTACTACTCTTCATTTCTACACTGGTGATAGCAGGGCAGCTTTCCAATCCTCTCTCTACACCAGAATAGATACCTGATTTAGTGTTGCAAAGACAGTCATAAGTTTCCTCCTACTGTCGCTTCTTGGTCTTTGTCATATTTCTGCAAAACAGGGAGGGTGTGTGTATCTTTAGTAATGTGGCAACTTTACAATTTGGCTTGAAAGAGTTAAAAAGAATCTGAATTATAGGTGTTTTATGATAAGCTAAATAAATCATAATACAGTCCAGACAAGTTGCTTAGCACTTATATTCATTTTCAACTAAATTATAGTATTGCAGGTCTGGCCATAGGGAGTCACTGGTGCTTTCACAGTGGCTTCTGCTTGCTGTTTCTTCCCAGCACGCACTGGGGCGGTCAGGCTTCCTTGTCCCTGATGGCAGGTAATAATATATAGGTGCCACGAGGGAGTCGGGGGAAGGGGTGCAATAGGCTTTTATTGCTGTAAAAATAACTTCTTAAGCATTACCGGGTACTGGAGGACAGATGACCCTTCGCATGTGCCTAGAAACACCCTCACTTTGTGTCACACCTTCTTGGACTTCCCCTTAGTGACAATAGAAAACAGTCAACCTGTAGGATTGAACAAATCCAAAATTATATACATCATGTAGGCCTTGGTTTAATATGTATTTATGGAAAATTAAGAAATGCTTATTAAATAAGCTGTTAGGCATATGCTGACATCTGGTGATAAACTAATTTGTTCATATTATTACCAAAACTGCCAGCTAAATGCAGGTCTTTGACAGAAGGCAGCCAATCTGTAGAAACGGGGACTATGGTTTGCTTTCTTGAACTTGGTGACCTTGCGCACTTACAGTACGTGACTGGGATTACAGCATACAGACACAGAAATTAATTTCTGGAAATTAAATGCAGATGCCAGTACTTTAGGAAACCATTTAAAATCTTGGGGTTTAATGCATACAAGTGAATAGAAAAAAAAAAACATTTTAAAGTCACTGATATGTGAAAGCCTCAATAATCCCATGGCTGAAGTATCAATAAAACTAGATGCCAGATTCTATTACTTTTGAATATTCACAGGGTATGAAATGACTTAGACCATCCATGAACTCAGTGGTATAATGAAAAGATGCAAATTTAAAAGTGGGAAACTCAGATCGGTTGGGGACTGCTTCATAGGAAAACAAAGCTGGTTTGCATAATGTGCCTCAGTGCGAAGCTGAGCAGTCTACGCTAAAAGTAGTAGCTCCAACTGTGAGTGGTAGAATCGTTCACATTGTCTGTTTGATTGAGGACCTATTTGACAAGTTAAATCACATTTTCAAAGAGCTGCATGGAGCGCATTATGTTTTCATCCTGCAAGGGAGAAACAGCGGGGTTAATTCAGTATATTTGCAAGGGAAAGTACAGCAAACCCTCCCTCAACGTCATTGATGAGTTCTGCAACTATGTGAAATGATGCATGAAGAAACCAGTTGTATCATAAGCTGATTGATATAAACAAGTGTTTAAGTTCCTTTGGCATCTCAGCATTCATAATGAGACGATGCTGAGTGGATGGCATTGAGTGAAATGACTCTGAACTACACTGAATGAAACGATGTTATTCGAGGCTGCACACTATTTTCCCGCCAAGTACCGCCTTACCCCAACGGCCACCTGTGCCCAAAGCTCCACTACTGAGTGTTCGCACATGTGAACAGCATTCTATCCACGTTCCAGATAGAGAGTCGGGGAACCCATTTTAGGTTTTGTTGAATCTACCAGGCTTCAAACATTTCGTTTAAACCTTACTTGGTGTTAATAGAGGATAGTTCTCAAATGAGAATGCCAGAATGGAAACTAGGGAAGTCAGAGGTAAGACAGAGTGAGGACATGCAAACTGGCATTCCAGGTGGATCACAGACTTGAACATGCAGAAGAAGCAGGGTTTGAGTGAAGAGCCAACTTCGTGAGGCCTGGGAGTTGGGGCTTTGGGACATGTTTGCAGTAATTGCACCTGTTTCTGGATATGTTAGGGCTAATTCATTGTGGCCTTTAGGAGCTTAAAAATGAGTGGTCTCTCATCACCAGAGTAAGAATAGTTTGGGGAAAACCATTGCTTGGAGGGTGCGTTCGGTTTAGCATAGTCTTTAGAAACAGACTTCGGGCATTACAAGGGCACTTGGAGATTGTATGTAAATGGCAGGTAGTGAGCTTTTGTAGTAATGGTAACAGGTAGCTGAACTAACGGTGACTCCCAGGCCTAGCAGCCAGGTCACCGCAGCAGCACCCAGCAAGTTGACGCCATGAAATTAATTCTCTCCAGTCCACCAGCTCGAAATACAAGTTTAGGAACAAGCAGGCAACAGGAAAGGAAAAGGATATCAATTCATAAATAGAAAAGCTAAACCACCAACAAGCTTTTTGGTCTGTATTTCTTTTTTAAATTCTTAATTGTGAGTCTAGCCACACATCAAGTCAAATAATTCCAGGTAAGCTAAAACTGGTCTGCCAGATGACAACCAGCAGATGTCTCCTCTGAGGGAATTCACTGCTCTTTGTTTTTGTGTGACTGAAGACAAAAAGCCATTTATTGCCACATACATTAAAGCAATGATGTTTCTCTTAGAAGTCAGCTATAAGCTTGGCCTGTGATGAATACTTAGCTGTACTGGCATTGTAAAGCTACGATAGACTATACATGTGATAGGCTAAGTCCAGGTAAAGAGCAGTATAAATCTCAACGTGTTTTATTCTCGAACACTCTAAAGGATTTAGGGAACAAAAACTCAGTTTACGTGCAGTTTTTGCACCCCCAGGGCTGCTGATCAGTTGAGCGTAGAAATCGGTGCTTGTTTCGGAGCAGGGCTGGTCTCAGCTATGTGAAATGGTAAACTTGGGCATATGACTATTATGTTTTGCTCACTTCACGGTGGCTAGCTGGCAGTATTCAGTCTAGCTGTCATGGAAACAACGGGACGGCTCCTTTACTGCCGTTACTTACTTTTTGGCAACTTTCGATGAACTCATCTATAGTAACAACTCCATCTTTATTTTTGTCCATTTTCTGTTCAGGAAGAAAAGAACAAAAAACTTTATTCAGACTTACCCCAAGGTACCCTACACTTGACAAATGAGCTGAAGCTGATTAAAAAAATTAAAAGCCCACTGCTTGTTTATTGGGAGGAACTGCTGCAGAGCACGAACTAGTCGTTTCTTAGAGCAGGAGTCATCTGCTGACTCCTTGTAGGCTGTTCCTTGTCAGTAGGACAGACTGAAGGTCTAGTCACTAGCCTGGGTAAATTCCTGCCCTCCAGCTATGCCAAGAGCTCAGGTGATTTGCTGAAACTCAGAGCCTTGGTCTTCTCGTCTGTAAAATAGGGCTAATAAAGGTTTATAACCTCATAGTTCTCGTGAGAATGGAGTGCAAAAACACCCCAGACCATGTGAAACTCGGCAGTTGCTTAGTGTTCTGTCTAGGATATCATGAATATTCAATAAGTGTAGTGATCAGTATTATAATAAATTCAAAACCAAGATTACTAAATTGCTAGGATGCTGAACATTCTATCATTTTATCCCTTTCAGGAAACAGTCTTTTTCTTTACATTCTTGTGAATCATGACATTTTGAAAACAAAATGTCCCTCTCTTTCTCTCTGACTCCATTTGCATTCCTACCTGGAAAAATGTCTCCACATGTTGTCTGGGAGCATCTTCTTTGAGGACAGGATATGTGCATTTGCCCATCATGTCGTATATCGCTTTCATTATGTCAAGCATTTCCTGAAAAGCCAACAGCACACACGTGAGGCCGCAGCAACGTGCGAGGAGACCCCCAAGGAAGTTAACATTGTTTCTACTCAATATTTCTGATTTTTCTTTGATTCTTCATGAAATGTCTTTTGGCTGTGAGGAAAAGCCAACAGCTTTGTGCTTTAAAAGCAGCAGAATCAAAATGTAGGGACTATTTCTGATCTTGGTTTCAGAATAGATTCCACATATTGACCATGATCAGAAAGAAATACGTACTCTGGTTTTAACGTTTGGGTTTCCATAGACTTCACAGAGACGACTTTTGTTTTATTGCATTATTATAGGTTGTACACGTTTATTATCAATTTGTTTATTAAGAATAAAATATAACTTCACATCATAAAAATTCTATTAAAACTAAGTCCCATGCTCATTAAGATTTTCATTTTTTTCCCTCTACTATGGCTTTTGCTGAGGACATCACACATGTAGATTAATCAAAATATTATGACTCTGGGAAACACCATGAAATTTCATTATTTTACTCAATCAAAATCTAGTTTTTTACTTATTTTCTATCTCGGTGAAAATAATATCTAATTATCTAGACATTCTGCCTCACTGGTTCACATTTATTTCCTCCATATTGAATTTTCCGTATAAGAGGATCTAGAGTAAGTTGATAATATTTACTTTTGAGAGTATTCAATTCTATTCTAAATGATAAACTAGTCGTATTTTAGAAATCATAGGTGAAACTTTTAAAAAGGATATTTTGTTTAGCTAAGTAGCAAGCAGTTTGTTTGCACAGGCAGAACTGATGGGACGCGTTGGGTGTAGGTATTGAGACAGCATGTGTGTGTGAAACATAGAAAGATAGAAAGGTCTTGAAGGTCCAAGAGATGCCTCATGTTCCTGAGGCATCTGAGCACTAAATGCTTATTGTATACCAAATATACAACAGGCACTAACCATTCAGGATATGCTCAGTATATACTAAAAATTAATATTCGTGAGGTCTTAATTCAGCCACCTATTGATGAGAACCACCGGCCCCATGTGTCCTCTGCCTAAGAAACACAAATGAAGACCATGGCCACTGAGCAGGCTAATTGTGTCACCAGAGCTGTGGTCAGGGGCACTCGTCCCTTTCTCCAGTAGAGCAAGTTCATGTCACGGGCCCATGATACCTTTTGTTTGAGGGGCCTCTAGCTCAAAACTCACCCCTTGGGAGAGCCAGTGAGGCAGAGAGAAAGACAGGAATAACAATATTGCACCCTCCCAGGACTCGGGTATGTGATCCTTCCACCCAACTTGCACCTTATCCTGAGTTTGTTAACTTATCCCATCCCCTCCCCTTGCTTCTCATTGTGTTTAAAATTGATTTAATGGACCATTTGATATAAATATCTTATTTGGTCTGTGGGCCTTCCTTATTGCATAGCCTGCTTAGGAATGTTTGGGGGGGGGTCCCACAATTCCCTGAGGTCATTTTCCACACAATACAGGTCATTGCATAATCTGTAGGACTTTAAAATTGCATCTGTTTCCATGTGGATCACATTATATGGGTAGGAAGGCAGGTCACAGGCCAAATATTCTAACAGTTTGGCTACATTTCCTTCCTGAATCCAGCCACAGTCTATGTTTCATTCATGGTGTTTATTAAAGTGTCATTAGGAAACAAGGGTATAGTCCTTACATGTTTTATATCTTACTTTGCAGATTCACCATAAACTATTACTATCTATTCCAGATTTTTTTATTAAAATATTTCTCTACCACCACATAAAATATTTTAGATTTCCTGAAAGAGCAATTTTCAAATTAGTAATTGTAAACGTTTAACATTTTGAAGTTATAAAATGAAAATGTCCCAAAGGATAGCTGTTGGTGAGGTGTTTCTTACTTCTTTAGTGATGTAGCCATCTTTGTTTATGTCATACAAATTAAATGCCCAGTTGAGTTTTTCTTGTACTGTCCCCCGGAGCAAAATGGAAAGACCATTGATGAAATCCTAAAAGGAAATAAAAAATACAATTTGATTTGACATTTCCAAAAAAAGTAAAATGCCAACTCAGGTAAAATTCTCCCTTAAAAGATGGAAGCAAGGGTTACAACCCACTGGATTTTTGAACCATTTATTTAGCAACTTTATCCATGCATTCTTGGTTATTTGTTTCTCAGAGTTCTTTGTGAGCACAGAACACGCCTTAGAGTTAACATTCTCATCTTGTAATTGGAAACTGTGACTTAAATCAATTTTGTAATTGGATTTGTATCAGAGCAGATACCCACAAACAGCAAGGTGCATGCTATAAGTGGTATTGGCTTTCTACTACAAGGACACGGAATTCTTTTACTGAAAATAATAACACTGTGTTTTTCAAGATGGAAACACATACATAATACCCTTCCCATAAAAAAGATCTGTTAAATGGTAAAATATCCTCAGGTGAGGATAAAATATATATATCTCTATATGTGTGTGTGTGTGTGTGTGTGTGTGTGTGTGTGTATTTGTTAAGACATTAGGACTGTCCTTAAGATGTGGGTTAGTTGTTACCTTTGCTTAGAAATCAGGTAACAATGTGCATGTGGGAAGCAGTTAAGAACATGGAGCTGGAAGTCTGACTGCCTGACTTCAAATTCCAGCTGTCATTTGATAGCTTTGTGTTCTCAGACAACATCCTGTTGCCTCAATTCATATCTGTAAAATGGAGATCATAGCATCTACTTAAAGTTGGGGTATATATTGGGTGTGAGGTAAACTTTCAGATCAACTTTGGCAGAACTGACAAGTGCTTGTGATGAGTCTCCTGCTCAAGGTGTAGAATACCTTTTGCTTGTTCTAGTCATTCTTGTCATTGAATGTTTTGGTTCCTTTTTGCTCCTGTAGTGAATTAGTATGTATAAACTAATACATGTTTATTATGTTACACTTCGGAGGTCAGAAATCTAAAATGGGTTTCACAGGGCTGAAATCCGGATGGAGACAGAGCTACCTCCCCGCAGGGGATCCGGAGAGTATGCTGCCTTACCCATTCCAGCCTCCAGAGGGCACCTACATTGCTTGACTTGTGGCCCCTTCCTCCATATTTAAAGCATACTCCAACCTCTGCTCCTGTTGCCCTAGCTTTTCTTCTTACTCTAATCTTTCTGTCTCCTCTTATAAGAACCCTTGTAATTACTCTGGGCCTATCCATATCATCCAGGATGAACTCTCCATCTCAAGAACCTAGTCACATCTGCAAACCTTGTTTTCCTATGTAAGGTAACATAGCCACAAGTTCCTGGAATTAGGATGTGGACATCTTTGGTGAGCCATTATTCAGCATACCAAACTCTGGTATAGTCTAGATCTTTCTGCCTCCCCCCAAAGTGTTTGTTCATATTTCTTTTTTCTTTATTGATTTTAGAGAAAGAGAAAGGGAGAGGGAGAGAGAGATAGAAACATTAATGAGAGAGAACATCGAATGGCCACCTCCTGCATGCCCCCCACTGGGGATTTGGCCCACAACCTGGGCATGTGCCCTGACCAGGAATCGAACCAGCGACCTCTTGGTGCATGGATCGACGCTCAACTACTGAGCCACACTGGCTGAGCCATATTTCTTAATCATATTTATAGCTAGATATTTTAGTCCTTCTGTTGCTGCTCCAAATGAGGTATTTTCTTCTATTATATATTCTAAATTTTGTTTGTACAGTATATATGTAAGGTATTGACTTCTGTATAATAATTTTATATGCTGTTTCTATTTTATATGAATGTTTCTATTGTATATGATAGTTTCTCAATGGACTCTCCTGGGTTCTTCTATAAGTGATCATATTAGCTACAAATGGAGTTTATTTTACCGCTACTTTTTAATTTTTATATTTTTAATTACTTTTTCTAAATGTATTGAGTGATACTTCCCAAACAACATTACCTAATTACAGTAATGGTAGACATCTTTATTTTGTTACTGAATTTAATGAGACTATTTCTAGTGTTTTTACACTGAACATGACACTGATTTTTATTGTTATGGAAGCATACCGTTCTTACTTTATTAAACAAATTTATCAAGAATGACCATTGACTTCCTTTGTAAAAAATGGAAAAGCTGATCTTCAAGTTCACATGGAATTGCAAGGGGCCCCACATAGCCAAGGCAATATTGAAACAGGAAAACAAAATTGAAGAACTCAAACTTTCTAATTTTAAAACTCTCTACAAAGCTGTACAGTCTGGCACTGGCCTGAGGAGACATATACAAACCGATGCAATACACCTGAAGATCCAGGCATAAACTCACACATCTGTGGACACTGATTTCCGACAAGGATGCCAAGGCCGAGCCATGGGGAAAGAAGAGTCCTCAACAAATGGTGCTTCAACAGCTGGGTCATGATACCTCCTTTACTTCCCACCTTTATTCAGGGTAAAATGTAAAGTAAGAGGAAAAGAGCATCTAGGCCACAAAGAATTCCAACATTTAGTAGGAAGAGAAAAAAGGAGAAGCCAGCAAAGGATCTTGAACAGAAGTTGTTAAAAAGTACGAGAAGGGAACATCCCACGAAGAAGAGATTATTTGTACTGACACAAGATGCTGCCGAGGACTGAGAAGAGTCCGTTGGGTCAGCAGCAGGGAGTTCAGTGGCCAACGGGAGAAGCTTCGGTGGAGCTGAGGGCGGGAAGAGAGATGGAAACTGTGCAGAAAACACCCAGCTTCCTGTGTGTAGATCCCGGGACATGGGTACAGGTGGAGAGGAACACGGGGCCACAACAGAAAGTTTTGAAGATAAGCCCTTTGAATACTGAAGGGAAGAATCTAAAAAGTGGAAAATACTAAAGACTGTGTGTGAGAGAGGGAGGGTATGGAAGGACTGATGCTCCTGAGAAAGTGGGGGGATGCAAATGCAGGTGGGTTGTCCAAGCTGTAAAGGGGGAGGTTCATTTCCTCAGCTGATACAGAGAAAGAACGTGGTAGAGGTGCCAGTAGCTGACAAGAGGTGGGAAGATGAGTAAGTCCCCATCTGATAGCCTTAGGGACGTCTGCTTGGGAGTGAAGGACATGCCAGAAAGGGTCAGAGTTGGAGGTTCGAGGAGTGAAAAGGGGGCAGCGCTACCCCTAGAGAAGAAGTTGACTTGAGCAAATTACAGGGAGGTGGAGGTCCCTCAAAATATCTCCCTGCCGTCTCCTGGAAAACCGTGACAGTACATTTAAACCTGTAATATGTATTTCAATTAAGAGGTAATGGTTCCCTTTGGAGTTGTGCAGTATCCAACTTGCAAACTCTAAGCTTTGGCTTTCTTGGGTATAAAACAGTCACGGCAGGGCATGGGCAGGTCAGCTCGGCAGAGGAAGATTGCTGGACAGTTCTGAAAAGCCAGCTGAGGTTGATGGTTATCGATGTAAACCTACTGGTTGCTTCAAATCACAAGGCAGTTCTATGCCCTTAGTCGAAAGGGTGGTGGTGCTGGATACAAGGTCTTTGAACACATTCTTATAGCATTGATTCTCAAAATTTAGCTTGTAATAGAATCACCTGGAGGGCCTACCCCTGGAGTCACTTTTTCTTTTTTTTGGCCAACAAACATTTTATTTCATTATCACCAAATTCCTGCTCCTCTCATCCTTAACTGTTTGGTAAAACTCTTAGTTCAACTGAGGTATATAAAGCAGAACTTACTTTCAGTTTTCATAGCAGTTTAAAAGTAAAACATGAGGAAAAACTGAAGAGATACACTGCCCATGTATACACCAAAAATTAAGTCGTATATTGTTACATGCATTACTACTCAACAACTCCCCTGTAATTGACCTTCCTATTTAAAAGTTTGAAGAAAGAACTAAACTCTTAGAAAAAATAAAAAAGAATACATTTTATCTGGCTTAAAATTATCAAGATATTTATTTGTAAATACTGAAAGCCACTTCCTAGTCTATTTTTCAAGTTTGACCACTGACAGGCATTAATTCAGATTTAACAACTGGGTCTGCTGGAGAGAAAATTACACTTATTTAAAAATCTGAGTCCATTAATTAGCACAGAAGTACAGAAGCCTGTATATACAGAGTACTACTGCTCCACGTATCTGTACATTTATTTCCAGTGCACAGCTTTATAAAACATGGGACTTTGAGAACGAGTTTGCAGGATAGAAGCAAACCCAATGTTCGGTCTGTGTGCACCGCGTGTAACCCCAAGTGTGCTCCAGGCTCCATCCTGGGGAAGGAGGGACTGTCCAGTGCCTGCAAGTGATGACGTCAATGACGTTCACACAGTGTACAGACCAATCTTTGCTTATACATATATTTGATAAAATGTGAAAACAGACGTGTAGAGTACACGTTCCACTTTTACAGCATGAGAACAGTACAATCAGCTCTGTATTCTGCAGTCATTTGCATCAATGACTTCGAATTCCTGTGGTGTGCATGCAGACAGTCTACTTGGGTGTCATCGCCCGTGAGTACGGCCTGAAGTTGTTTCTTTGGCTTTGCCATTTGTTACTAAACGCACAAAGTCCTCTGCTCTTCAACACCGTCTTCCGCTTTCTGAGCAGCTTACAAACAGAAAGAAAAGGTGAGTCTAGAAATCCAAGGTGAACTAATAGGAGGACCACAGGACCCCAGCTGCTCCCCAGTGCGTGATCAGAACCCTGTCCTCCAAGGGACGGTAGCATTGGCCAGGGCATGCTCTGTGGGCGTCAGGCTGCCCAGGATGAAACTGGGGGTATTTCTGTTCCTCCAGCTGAGCTCGGGGTGCCCGCTCCGTGCAGCACCTCGCAGGCGCTGTGCGTGTGGCCCCTCCGGACCAGGCGGGGCGCAGCCGCCACAGCAGCCTCTGGGAGGCCTCCCGAGACAGTGCGTCTCCCCAGAAAGGGGCCCCTTTCTCCCGGAGGCGCGGCGACCCCCGCAGCGCAGGTGGCGTCGCTTCGCCGGTACAGCGGGAAGTGCGGCAGCGGGACCGGGCCCAGCGGCACCGGCTGCCCAGCCCCGGAGGCTGCAGCGCGGTTCCCGC